ACCAACTGGCCCCCTGGCGCCGTGTAATCTCATCAGTGGCCAAGACTCAGAGACTATAAAAACCAGCTCCCGGAACCACATGGCTGCATTTGCGGCCGCGCGACATCTTATTATGACATCTTATTATCTCATTCCTACTTTAGACAAACTGGCAGGCTACCAAATGTAACCTGCTCACACGGCAGAGTCTGGCAAACTCCCCGTGGCGTACCCAATATGCCAAATACCAGTAACAATGATGGGTCTCATTCTCCTAAAGAGCCTTGAATATAGCACTAATCTCAGGGCTAGGATGAAGGAGACGTTACTGGGGCCTGCTCGAGGCAATCGACGAATAATAGGATGGTTGTCATGATCGTGATTGTTAAAAATTGTACAACGACATCATAGACTTCTTCAACTTACAGGTAAGACTATACACATCACCTTTTGTTTCTTTTTTAAAAAAAAATTGGGTCAAACCCAGTTATGCTCAGAACCCTAGCTCTGAGTTCAGGAATTACTCAGGGGACCATATGGGATGGCGGGGATCAAAGTTGGTATGCAAGGCAAACACCCTATCTTCTGTACTATGACTCCAGGCCTCTACATCACCACTTCTTATTTGTCATATTTAGATCCTGTTCTTTGAGGTTGTGCTAAAGAGAAATATAAATTTGCCTCTTACCATTTACTTTCTTAAAACCCGATTGTGAGTTGAATCTCTACTCACTCCTACTGGTTTTAGAACTTTGCATGACATTTATCCACAATTATTCTGCTGAAAGAAGACTGGAATATGGATATGGAAGTTATGTATATAAAATGACTTCAGTTTAAATCAGGACTTATTGTCAAGGCCAGCTGAATCCATATATCTATCAATAGATATGCATTTATAGAGCATATTTCTATGTAGGGAAATATAACATTTCATATGATTCATCTTACCATTTTTGTTGTGGTTTTGGTTTTACCACACCTGGCTATTCTCAGGACTGATTTCTGGCTCTATACTCAGGGATCACTCTTGGGTACCCAGATGACTCTGTGGCCATACAGGGTGCCTCGGATCCAACTTGTTCCATTGCACTGTTTCTCTGGCCCCTTATACCATTAATCTTAATAAGTCAAACCCAGGTGCCCGAGAACAGACAACTGGTTTGGTACATCTACACAATGGAATACTATGCAGCTGTTAGGAAAGATGAAGTCATAAAATTTGCTTATAAGTGGATGATCTGGAGCGATAGCACAGCGGTAAGGCGTTTGCCTTACAAGCAGCCAACACGGCTGACCTGAGTTCGATTCCTCCGCCCCTCTTGGAGAGCCTGGCAAGCTACCGAGAGTATCTCGCCCGCACGGCAGAGCCTGGCAAGCTCCCCGTGACGTATTCTATATGCCAAACACAGTAACAACAAGTCTCATGATGGAGACGTTACTGGGCCTGCTCAAGCAAATCGATGAACAACAGGAGGACCGTGACCGTGATAAGTGGATGATCATGGAGAGTATCATGCTAAGTGAAATGAGTCAGAAAAAGAGGGATGGACATAGAATGACTGCATTCATTTGTGAAATATAAAATAACATGAGACTGACACTCAAGGATAGTAGACACAAGGGCCAGAAAAATTGCTCCATAGTTGGAAGCCTGCCTCATGAGCTGGGGGAGAAGGCAGCTGGAATAGAGAAGGAATCACTGAGTCAATGATAGCTGGAGGGATTGTTTGGGATGGAAGATGTATGCTGAAAGTAGATAAAGGACTAAATGTGATAGCTCCTCAGTATCTGTATTGCAAACCATAATGCCCAAAATTAGAGAGAGAATAAGAGGGAAATTGTCTGCCATAGAGGCAGAGGGAGGGGTGGGATGGGATGAGGGATACTGGGGACACTAGTGGTGGAAAATGTGTACTAGTAGAGCGATGGGTGTTTGATCATTGTATGACTGAAACTCAAACATGAGAGCTTTGTAACTGCATCTCATGGTGATTCAATTAAAAAAATCTTAATAAGTCCCTCTCATATGCAGGTCAGTGAGGACATCTTGTGTGCCTTCAGCCTTAGAAGATTTTAAAATTACATATTATTACTTATCCATTAAATCTTTTATCAAAATTGGGCCTGCTGGGTTGGGAATAATGGTTTAAATGATCACAGATACTTGAACTAAGTGAACTTGTACTACAGTTGGTGTTTAGGAAGAGCAAAACAACTGATAGAAAAGAAAGTTTTAAAAAGAAAGAACCTGAAACCTGGTTAACCTGGTATCGTATATGTTCCTGAAAAATCGTAGTTTGGGAATACATAGTTGAGAGAACAAAGCTCCAGGAGCTCGAAGTTAAGAGAACTTTAAGCCAAGTTAAGGCAGCCACCTAGTGGTCTGTTACATGATTTAAGGCTGTATGTCTGTAGCAACTCATCAGTTTTGATTTTATGTGTGTTACCAATCAAGTATGATTAAGTCTGGTCAGTTTTTATTATGTCGACCATGTGAGGTTAGTTTCATAGAGAATAAATAGATGGACCATTGCTCTGTATAGTATTTTATTTATTAATAATACTACCTTTTTCTAAATCAGAAAGGACAAGATAACTGAAGTGAACACCAATGAGACAACATAAACTAGAAGATCAGTAAATGAATAAAGACAGAAAAAGTAGGGAAAATTTGGCAATAATTCTTTGGGGGCCAGAGTGATAATACAGCAGGTAGAGCATTTGCCTGGTACGCAGCTGGCCTGCTTTGATCCCTGGAATCATATATGGTCTCCTGAACACTGCTAAGAGTAATTCCTGAATACAGGGCCAGGGGTCACCCCTGAGCATCTCCTGAATGTGATGATCAACCCCCCCCCCCAAAAAAAACAAAACAATGACAAAAAGGCCATTATAAATTTCATAAGTATTTCATGCCAAGAACTCTGTGTTTTCGGTAATCTGGTCTGTTATAAAATCATGATATTGAGAAGGATGAAATCATTTTCAGAAAAAACTGAACAACACTAAGAGCAGAGGTTTTTTCCTGAGGTACTGACAATCTACTGCATCACACCTGATTCATGTCTTCAGTCTTCATGACTGAGTTTATTCTGAATCTGGGCTGACTGGCGATTGTGTTTGATATGCAGGAAGATGTGCATCCCCCCCCCCCCCCCCCCCCCCCCCCCCGCCAAGTGCTGAACCCATTGGATCCTCAAGAGGGCGGTTGTGTTATTTTCTATGTATTGCCAATAAGGGCACAGGAATTCCAGGAGTTTATAAACATACTGAAATTCAATCTATTGGTTGCCATTGAAGCTGGAATCCAGACCCAGGTTGTCTAGCTCTGTCATTTATCATGCATGCTTTTTTTCCCAGTTGTGCTCTACTGACTGGCCACTTGGGTACAGTAAGATCCATCTGGTGAAAGATGACAATTCTTTTTTCTCTCATCACTTAAACATTCTGTGAAGAATTACCTGGCTGTGCTTTAACCTGATGCTTAATTGCCTCACTTAACTTTGCTCTTTTCTAGGGTTACAGACTTTCTTCCTGTTTCCAGTTAGCACATAAGTGGACTAGTCTGATTTCACACAAGTGAAATCATTTATTTGAGAGAGAGAAGAATGAATGCTGAATTTTTACCACTTCCTGACTTCCAAAAAACAGCTGAAATCTATGACATTCTCAGATACAAGATGTGAAATGTAGACATGAAAAATGCACTTCATTTTGCTAGCTTTCTCATTTTAAAGTGGTATTTCTCAATGGACTTGAATGGCAGCTAAAGTGATTTCTTTTAACCATGAAGGTTGATTAGCAATAGCAAGACAGTCCTTGGAAGGAATTTGGTAGGACAAAAATGATACCATTGAAACATTTTAGCTAGAGGAATCAAAATATCCTGTAACGAAGTCTTAAATTGAGCATTTAGAATGATGTCTTTTAAACCGCACCTTAGGATGGTTGTGTGGTTAATGTTTTTGCTCAAGGGAAAAGTTTTACTCTGCAAAATAGCTGTTCTATATAGATAAGCCTCCTTAAAAATGAATTTCCATGACATTTAAAAGAAATGCTTAGCTCAATACAAATTTGTATGCACCTGAAGGGTTCATGTTCTGAATGCATGAGGGATCAATGTAATGACTTATTTATTACCTGTAAGATTGAAGTGTTCGTAATCCTGTCTTCTAATAGTACTGATGATTTTTTTTTTTTTTGACGAGGGGCTTGGGTCATACCCAGTGGTATTCAAGGACTATTCTTGGCTCTGTGCTCCATAGTGCCACCTATTAGGTGCTTAGGGGATCATATGTGATGCTGAAGATTAAACCAAGGTCAACTGCATGCAAGGCAAGCTCCTTCCCCTCTGTGCTGTCTCTCTGGCTCTAGGTCTGACGGTTGTCTAAAAGTTTTACTCTGTTATGGAATACATGTGAAAGAACAATGCTGAGAGAGGGTGAAGAAAACATTGACTGGGAATAAGAAATGTGGATTCCCAGGTCTACCTTATTCTGCTAACAAAAGCTAAATTCTTTATTTTTCTTATGAACTTGGAAGTTAGGTTAAAATCAATATCAATTCTTATACCTATTAGTTGAATGGCATTGGACTGCCCAACAAATCTCTTTGGACCTCAGTTTAATCATCTATAAAATCAATTTAATGATACATGGGTTTTACTAGAGACTTGATTTGGACATGGTGTGCTTTTCTATACTTTTTTCCTCACTGACACTTTAAAATGGGTAGTCTCAGTTGTTATCCTCACTTGGTAGGTGATATCTTTGATGTTGAGGAATAGATAATGTGCATTGGGCTAAATTCAGGAATGTTCTGTTCCACCTGGTACAGAGCTAGAGCTAGACTTCCCAGAAATGAAAGCTGCTGTGTTCATCTCACTTGTCTCCTTCTCATCTTTTAAATATGCCTTGACAGGAGAAGAGCTACATGTGTAAACAGTGGGTATGTTTGGGTATTTGATAGAGATTTAGGTCAGGGGATGAAAATAAAATGGAATCTTAATTTTCCTGCAGGAATGGCAAAAACTCAACTATGATATCTACACATTGCGACAGATTCGAAGGGAAGTGAGAAATCGGTGGAAGCGCATTTTAGAAGATTTAGGTGAGTCTAGAAGTTCCTATGAAATGGTAAATATAATAAATTGTGATAGATCCTCTTCACTGTCTTCATCAGGATTTATGTAAAAGGAATGTCAGTAATCAATGAATTAAGGCTTCAGTGTGCTGGTTATTGGTCCTGTCCTGCCCTCCTTGTATTCTCATGCATAGTCATCTGCTATTTCCACTTTTACCAGTCTGTTTTGAACATTTCATTACTAGTATTGCTACTTCCATTTGCCTTAAGGATTGCGTAGGATAAGACCATGAAATATAGGCTACTGCTGAATATCTCTTGGATATTGATTGGATTCATGGGTATGGTCAGTTAGGTTTATAATATGGGACAGATTGGGAACAATAGTTGGTAAGAGAGACAGGAACATCCGGTGTAGATTTTCTCAAGGATTACAGAGTAGAAAAGTTATAAAACTGAGAAAAATGCCTGGGGTGTTAGGGTAGACATTGGATATTGTTGTTAATTAATTCTGCCATGTTTGTAAACAAACATGGATCTCACTTTGCATCCTTTTATGTAAACTCAATGTGATGTTTAAAAAGTGAAAACAAAAACAAACACTGTTCTCCCATTGTTCATCGATTTGCTTGAGTGAGCCCAGTAACATCTCCATTTTGAGATTTGTTGTTACTGTGTTTGGCATATCAAATATGTCATGGGTAGCTTGCAAGGTTTTGCTGTGTGGGCGAGATACTCTTGGTAGCTTGCCAGGCTGTCCAAGAGGGGTGGAGGAATCGAACACGGCTCAGCTGAGTTGGCTGCGTGCAAGGCAAACGCCCTAACCTTGTGCTATCACTCCAGCCCATGTTTAAAAGTGAACTTATCAGTTTTATATTCTTTGTGCCTTCTGCTCTGCAAGGTAAGGCAATGCCCAGGATCCTCACTTTTCAAAAGTGGGGGTCTCAGAAAACTGACCTCTATTTATTTGGTTGGGATTCAGTGAGATGGTATGGAACTTGTGCCCTCTTTCCTCACCCAGTATCATTGTGACTTCATCATCTCCACATCACAATGTACATTTCTCCAGGCAGATTAAAATCTAGGAGTATCTTATATTCTGGGTAACTAATTTTAAAAAGCCAATTATATTGCCCTGAGAAAGAATATTTATATTTGAACAATTAGAAACACGGGAAGTTTTTGCATATTCAGAGACTGATATAGGATTTCTGGGGACAGAGAAGAAGATAAAGAAGGGTCAAAAAGGGGGTTTTCCCGAGTGCCCGAGAACAGATGACTGGTTAAAGAAACTTTGGTACATCTACACAATGGAATACTATGCAGCTGTCAGGAGAGATGAAGTCATGAAATTTACATACACGTGGTTCTACATGGAAAGTATGCAAGTGAAATGAACCAGAAAGAGAGGGAAAGACATAGAAGGACTGCACTCATCTGGGGAATATAAAGTAACAGAATGGGAGTCGAACACCCAAGAATAGTTGAGATAAGTACCAGGAGGTCTGGTACTTAGAATAGTTGAGATAAGTACCAGGAGGTCTCCATGGCTTGGAACCCAGCAGCACATGCTGGGGGAAAATGTAGCTCAGATAGAGAAGGGGACACCAAGTAAAGGATGTTTGTTTCGCTCAGGATGTGAGATGAGTGCTGAAAGTAGACTGTAGACCGAACACAATGGCCACTCAATACCTCTATTGCAAACTACAACACCTTAAAGGAAAGAGTGAGCAAAAAGGAATGCCCTGCCACAGAGGCGGGGGGTTGGGTGGGGGGGTGAGGGGTGGGAGGGCTACTGAGATCATTGGTGGTGGAGAGTGGGCACTGGTGGAGGGATGGGTACTCGATCATTGTATAACTGAAACCCAAGCATGAAAGTTTGTAAGTCTACAGCTGTACCTTATGGTACACACACACACACACACACACACACACACACACACACGCACACAAAGAAAGAAAAAAGTAAGTGGGTTTCCAACCAAAAAGGGGCAGCAATCAATTAGTGGGTATATGTTTGAGGCCTAATTTTCAGTGAAAATTTAAATTGGCTAAGAAAGACATCAAAATCATTAAATTAAACTAAACCCCCTGCTGATCATACCCCTGCAGATCATATTGCACCTGCAGTACCTGGTGCAGTGCCTTTGGCCTCCAGTGAATCCACTTTAGGTAAACCACTTTAAGTGAACCCACTAAAGATTTCACCCTTAGACTTCAGTAGACTCCTGCAGGGGACATACCACAGGGCAGACATTTTCTGTGACCACTTTTCATGTAAATATATATTTTTTGTCTTAGGTTTTCAAAAGGAAGCCGACTCTTTGCTGTCAGTGACAAAACTCAGCACCATCAGTGATTCCAAAAACACAAAAGAAGCTCGAGAGATACTGTTAAAACTGGCAGAAGAGACGAATATTTTCCCAACAAGTTGGGAACTCTCAGAGAGATACCTCTTTGTGGTGGTAAGTGGATGCTTTTTCATTCTGCTCTGGCTTTGCTTTAGAACTTTTGCTTTTCTGTAGTTCTGTAGATTCGTGACTCCAGCCATACCAGCATTCTGTGGTCTGAGCAAATAATGGTGTTGTCATTGTAAGCCATTTCCAGTGGTCAGCATCATTAAAATCTGCCGACTAAAAAAATTGGATTTCTGTGTCAGAGTGATAGTACAGTGGGTAAGGGCACTTTCCTTATATATGACTGACATGGCTTCAATCCCCACCATTCTATATGATTCCCTGAGCAACATCTGGTATTTCCATATTTCCTGCGCACAGAGCCAGGAGTAACCCCTGAGCATTGCCAGGTGTTGGCCCCAAATAATTCCCCCCACAAATTTAGATTTCTTGGTTATACTCAGATCATTGGAGCCTCGGTCATGACTCAAGACCTCAAGACTATACTTTTCATCCAATTTACTTTGTAATCAACTTTGTGAGGGCTGGAGCGATAGCACAGCGGGTAGGGTGTTTGCCTTGCACACAGCCAACATGGCCAACCTGAGTTCGATTCCTCCACCCCTCTCAGAGAGCCTGGCAAGCTACCAAGAGTATCTTGCCCGCACGGCAAAGCCTGGCAAGCTACCCATGACGTATGCGATGTGCTAAATACAGTAACAAGTCTCACAATGTTACTGGGCCCACTCGAGCAAATTGATGAACAACGGGAGGACAGTGACAGTGACAGTAACCATATCCTACAACTTTGTGAACCATTTGTAAGTCAGAGAGATTTTAGGAATGCTGTTTATGTAACCTAAGATGGCAAAAGAATTTGAAGAGGCTCTTGAGTGGTGGGATGTTTCTGGGATATTGTAAGTAAAGGACTAAGGATAGTTTCTACATGTATTGAAAAATTTAATAAATGTCTTACTCATTATTTCTAGGGTGCGTTTTGTGAATGTTTTATTGGTTTTCCTATCAACATGATTTATTCCTATTTTTTTCTATTAGTTGAGGTTCTGTGATTTACAGTATACGTTTTTGTTTTTTGTTTTTCTTTTGCAGGACCACATTTTCTGGTGCTCAGCTCCTACTTGTGGCTCTGTGCTCATGAATTACTCTTGGCAGGGCTTGGGGGACCATATGGGTGCTATGGATCAAAGCTGGATCAGCCACCTGCAAGTCAGGCTTCCTGCTGGCTGTACTATCACTCTGATCCCTATAATATTGTTAATGATGGTTTCCCAATTAATTAATTAATTACAACACCACACCCATCACCAGTATTCCTACCTTCTTCCCCTAAAGACCCTCCCTTTCAACTCCCATAACTTCTAAATTCAGTTTTTTTGAGTTAAATCTCCCATTGTATTATCTTAGACACTTTATTGATATTTTGATATTATCTTTAAGTCCCACATATTGAGAGAGGTCATTATATAGCTATCTCTTTCCTTTTGATTAACTACACTCAGCATAATATCCTATACTTTGAACCATGTTGTGGCAAATTGTGTCATTTTGTTCTTTCTTAGAGCTGCATAGTATTCCAGGTTACTCCATAGTGTTCTTATCTTAACAACATTTCTACTTTTAAATTTTTCAACAGGACCGTCTTATTACTCTTGATGCTGCAGAAGAGTTCTTTAAAATTGCCAGTCAAACTTACCCCAAAAAACTTGGGGTCCCCTGCCTGGCAGATGGCCAGAAAGAGCTGCACTACCTTCCACTTCCAAGTCCCTAAAGTGACAATTGAAAGGAGCCATCATTGGAGTCTTCCACAGAAACTCGACAGCTCACAAAGTTGGATACAAGCATGGAGAAGAGAGTGAGCAAGGATAAATTTACTAAGTGAACCATAATTCTGATTCCTACAAACACCTAAGGGTTTGGATATCTGGTTTTCCTGAGGAAAACACTAATTGCTATATGTAATGTTCAAACTACATGAAAACAGCATTGCATCAGATAATTGGTTGGGAATATTTCATCATTGGGGAACAGACTCCAAGATCTTGTTGCTCTAGTTTTTGTTTTGTTTGTACAATAATATCTACTCATTAATCTTATTCGGAGAATGAAATATTCTGCCAAGTATAATAAGATTAATAGAGTTTCCACTGAGCCCAGATTACCAAAAATAGTTGTTCTATAATATAGTCTAATGATATCAGGGATTATATGACCTTTCCTTTATTTTTAAGTGCCTTCCGAATTTCTGAGGGAGTCAGAGGCATCATTTTGATTATAGCCTCAGTTCAGATTATCCAGAAGAGTAGATGTAACAGATGAAAGAACCATCTAGGATTGCTGCTCAAAGTAAGTTAGTTCCACATAGAATGGCCCCAGGCAGAACTTCCTGTGACTAGGTATCAAGAAGTTATTTTTTCACATGTGGCACAATCTTCTTTAATTCTCAACATTATTGATGTCTTATTACCTCATTTTGGCAGATCATCTACTTTTAATCTACTGGCCCTTGATATCTTATCTGGGAGAACTGAAAGGTTGGGTGCCCTCTTCCTCCACTTTCTTCTCTCTAATCTGTTTCTGGCTTATCAACTGGAATTTGAACTTGTCTGGAACCTCTATAGTGAACTAGCAGCTCTGCAGGCAGTGTTGCATTGGAGAGGTCACCGCTGAACTTTCTTCCTTTCTGAAGATGGTTTTCATGGTATAGCAATACTCCCCACATAATTTGTTTTTGTCCACAAGTCAAGAAGTCCAGCTTCAGTCGTTACCTCTTGAACTAGGAGTTTGACAAGAAATCAAGGCACAGTTTATTGAAACAACTTGAGGAACTTGTGGGCTCTATCAGTCAGTTGCTGAAAACCATGGCAATATTTTTACTTTTATAGATTTGACTCTGTGACTTCAGGCTAAAAAGTAACTTGTATTTAGTCTGTTGAAGGCACTTGAAAATTTCCATTTCCAAGCTAGCTCTTTTGGTAGTGATTGCAGTGTTAAAAGTGCTTGTTAGTGGAGACACACATGTTCTCCTTTTATTAATGCATTGCAGACCAATTTAGCTGACACAATTCAGGAAAATCCATTCTAGTTTAATAAGCTAAAAGTTTTATTTTTTATATTTAGAACCTAACCCTTCTCTCACATGATTTATAAATAGCCTACAGATACTTTTCCTTACTTTCGTAGGCTTTTGCAAGATAAATATACAAAGTACAACAAATAAAAATAAGTAATAAAAATAATAAAAATCTTTTAAAAAATCATGTTGCTTCATTTCTGTCTTTAGAATTCATGCTTTGCCTTTCTGCCTTTATTAACCATCAAGAGGGATGAGATTATTTGCAAACAAAAAAATGTAGCCAGAGACTTTATTTTTGGTACTAAATGAGTAAGCATAAGATTGACTCTATGATTATAAGAACACACAGAATTATCCAGGAAACTTTTCTCCTATTAAAGGGTTTCTAAATTTGCTGTTCAATTGGAGGTGTGATATGTTTCCAAAAATATAAATGGAAAAAGTACCCTTTAAAGAGTGAAGAAACTGAGTAGCAAATGGTTTTAGGAATTTTCCTTCATTCTAAAATCAGTGAAGGGCAGTTTCTGTGCTCAAGGCTACTGGACACTGCAGTATGGAGAAATGTCAAGGGTGATGGACGTGAACCTTCAGTAGTCACTGGGACCAGAATCCACAAAAGTACAGAGAACTGGAGGGTTTTTCTAGTTTCTAAATATTTTCCTATTGACTATTATATTCCTTCCCAAGGATTATACTTAGTAAATGGGTTATTTGGGGTGGTAGATGGATATAAATTTACATACCAATATTTATTTTTAGAAACTTCGGGGGGGGGGGGATTATGATTTGCACATCAAACATCTGATTTCCTATTTGGACTACACCTAGCAGTGCTCAGGGCTTACTCATGATTCTGCACTCAGGATTACTCCCAGTGGTGCTTGGGGGGAAAGTCAGATGAAATTGGGGGTGCTTTTTGTTTGTTCAAAGAAGGTAAATTTACAAGGGAACAATAAATAATTTTTATTATGTTTTAAAAAGATGCTGGGCCAAAAATATTTGGAAACCTCTAAGTCAAAGGCATCAAGGGCTAATGGTAGAGATCCTAAGTCAAATAGCCACTCTGGCCCCTATGAAAACTGGATGGATGCTGTAAAATCAATGTGGATTGTGATCATTGTAGAAGAGTGGTGTAGGGGATATCCATAATTAGAGCTGTTGAGTTAGATGTCAGATATTTTGTTTGTTTGTTTTGGGTTCACATCTAGCAGTGCCAAGGACTTATCCCTGACTTTATGCTCAGGGATCATTTCTAGCATACGTGGGGGATTACAAGTGGTGCTGGGATTCAAACCGAGGTAGGCCAGGTACAAGGCAAGAACCTTAATGCTTGTATTACTTCTCTGACCCCTTAGATGTTGGATCTTTATAAGAATAAATTAACACATATTCAGCTACTTGACATATGTCTGTAGATCTGGCAAATGTGTTATTTTTCCGTCAGTAAGACAGGACCAGAAAATGCATTTACTTAGGACAGATAACAGAAGATAAACTACTATGTGTAAAAGCAGCACTATGGAGTTGTTCCAGAACTAGATGTATTCACCTTATGCTATAATATATTCAAAGGCACCTACCTGGACTATATGGCCTTTCTAAAGAATGATGGTATCAGTGATGTTAGATCTATGAGCAAAAAGTAATCAAAATAAGGGAGGCCTTGGCAAAGTCCTATATTATATTAGAGAATGGGAGATAGAGTCTAGAGTCTCAGGGCCTGTCATTTCAGTAATGTTTTTAGGAGTCCAGAGGTTGGAACATTGCAGAAGCACCCTTTCTGAATGAAATTTTTAATTACTTCATTGTAATCTACCCCCCCTCCCCGCCAAGGAACTAGGTAAGGGCTGGAGAGATAGTAGAGTGGGCAAATCACTTACCTTGCATGAAGCTGACTCAGGTTCAAGCTCAGCCTCACCTATGGTCCCCAGAGCACATCCAGGAGTCATCCCTGAGCACAGAGCTGGGAATAAAGCCTGAGCACAGATGTGGTCCCCAAGCCAAGAACAAACAACAACAAAACAAAAAGAAGTCTGCGAAGGGCTTGGAAGATGTTTCCATATTTTCAATGGTGAATCTGCTTCCTCCCATGTAATGGTAGCGTCACTAGCACTGGGGGAAGATCCACAGCAGGAAGGAGCTCCAAAATAGGTCAAGGCCAAGACCAAATGATCTACTACCTGAGCCACCTCACAGGATACTGCAGACTACTTGTGTTGTAAGTCTGATGATAAGAAAGGATACCCTGTGCACTTAGAACACTGAATGGGAGAATGACAGCTCAAACTCTTGTTTGGGTTCTGCGGTAAGACTGTATCATTTTCATGGGGAGAACTGTACATTCAAAACAATTGTTCAGCATGAGCTGGGCTCTTGTCAGACCCACCAAACCAGAATCCAGCATCAACCTTAATTCCATTTGACACATCATATTCCCTTAAACTTCTCTGGACTCTGATAGTTTGGACACTGCTGGTTTTTCTTTACATTTGTTTGAAACTTTATTTACCACATTGCTCATAACAGTTGTTTTGTTTCGGACATTTAATGTTCCAATACCAATCCCACCACCAGTGTGACCCTCCCAACATCAATATCCTCAGTCCTCTCCCCAAAACCCTGCCCCTTTAGTGGGTGCAAAATACATAACTTTATATTGTTTGTGACAACATGTATCTCACAATCCTATTACTAGAGTCATTGAGGATTTACTGAGCTGTTGGGTGTTAGTTAAGCTTTCTGTGTTATTGTTTTTGCTCCTGGAGCTTCGGGGGACTTTTACACAACTTCCCATCCAATTTGCTGTGCTCCCACTGGGCTGTTAGTACAGTGGAATTTGACGCTGTTGCACGCATCTGTCGGAGATGAGTCGTGGTGCTGGACCGTCTATATGCCAAGAGGAAATTGGGTATGGATGGAGCTGTGGGCCCACCCACATCCTGAGGAGGCTCCAGACATCTGGCCTGGAGATCAGGCCTACCTGTGGTGCCTCAGCTGTGGCATCTCTCCAAATCAGTCCTTATTCTCTAGAGTTTTTTTTTAAATTACACAGTTTTTATTTGTAAGTTTTGAAGGAAAGGAGGGAGAAAGTGGGAGAGAGTGGAGAGTAACCTACTCAAAAAGGGAGCCCGGGCTTCTCCAATGTCAGAGAGAGCCCCTACACACATCCCAGCATTAGACATGAAAACATGACAGTACACATCTCAAGAGGGGAGATGCGGGTGACACATGTGCTCAGGCAGTATATGCGCCTCATTCTCGAGAGGGTTTTTTTTTTTTATGTAGGAGTACTGCTATTCATTCAGCCACTGATTAGCTGATTGAATTGGGCATGAACTCCACCTTAATTTTTTTTTATTTATAATTTTATTTATTGAATCACCGTGAGAATAGTTACAAAGCTTTTGGGTTTAAGTCTCGGTCATACAAAGAAACATCCATAACTTCTCCACTGCCCATTCTCCACCACCAAAACCCCCAGTATACCCCCATCCCATACCCTCCCCCTACCTGTGGGGCAGATGTTTTCCACATTACTCTCTCTCTACTTTGATCACATTTAATATTTTGATACTAGACCCACCATTATTATTTGGGATTTTACCCCAACACTCAGATCTGCTGAAAAGGCAACAGTAGACAATTTGTTTTCTATTGCTGATTAAGAATAACATCTGATGTTGCGTGGCTGCAGTAGTGGCCGTGCGATTTTGAAATTCTGAAATTTTAACACTTAAATCTGGAGGGATTTCTGCCAAAAACTGCTGGGTTCTGAGATTTGTTCCTGAGTCTCTGGGATCATGGCCGTTAAGCAGCTTGATCAGGAGCCGGAGAGGCTGTTCGTGGGCGATGACTTGGGGTCTCTTTGGGGGGTGGGGAGGAAAGGGCCAGCTCCACCCCCATCCCATGAGACCCCATGTGTCTTGTCACTGAGAGCCCAAACCTGAACTGTCTTCATTCTCGAGAATTTTGAGGAATAAATACTCTTCAGAAATTGGGATAAGAAAAATAAGTATTAGCTATTGCAGCAGCAGGATTATACGTGATTCAGCTCCATCTCTTTCTATAATGTTCCTCCAGAAAATAAAGGTACCAGAATCCTGGAGTAACCTCTCCAGAACTGGACATAAAAGCCTACGGATGCCCACAGTGCTGCAATGGAAGGTTGTAGATTTGGAGTGTTGCTCAGGTCTGTCCCTGTGGGGCTGAAGTAGGCACTCCCTTAGCTGCTCAGATCTTTTAGGATTCTGAGCAATTAGCTGAGTCTTTCAGGACTGCCATCAGCGTTGAGACCTGCCTTAGCTTCTTACCTGGCAACATCCTGCCTCTGTTAAATGGTGGTTAGTGTAGGTAGGGGTTTGTAAAGTTATCCTAGCTTCAGAGTTCCCTAATTACATTGGATGAAGCTTTTGTTTTGATCACATCTCATTAACCTCCCCCCCTAATCTTACCCCTTCCCCTTCCTCCAAAGCTGTTTTCTTAAAAACTTCTACATGCTGATCTGCGTTTTATTGTGCCCATGTCTGAATCAATATGTTAACACCCAAACCGGCAATTGCAGATGACATGTTCAGAATGTACCTGTTCTTTTTGTATAACCAGACCAGATAATTTATTTATTGCAATTTATATTATTTAATTATGAATCAATAAAATGTATTTATCTTTGGTATTATTTAGTACATTATTAAACTTTTATTATAGGCAGCCTAATTATATGTGAATTTATTTAAATTATTTTAAAAGACCATCATAAATGTCAACTCTCGTTTGGCTAAGTTGCATAAGTTTTCCTGGGACTTTGCTGTTTAAAATCTAGTAATTTCTAGAAAAAATTTATATTGGGAGCAGCAGAAAATAGTTTACCTGATTACTCTCCAATGACTAGAGAAACAAAGAGGCTTAAAACTGGCCTCTTCCTATTGGAGTAATGCATTTATTCATTTCATGACGTTTATTCTTACTCATAGCACAAGGAACATGTTGTCATCCTATTAAGTTTCATTGAGTGGGCATATTGACAATTTTGAAGTCACTACCCTGGACAGGTTAAAAATGGTCAGTCACTTGAACTTTCTACTGATAATGTCTCAATAAATGTTTTATTAGCTTCTGGAGTACTGTCCATATTTCACTGTGACATTGCCAATGGACATTTTAGCACCACAATG